TTAAATAGATGCATTGCTAAATATGCATTTAAATATATGGCTCAGTTAGAAATATATATAAAAGAACTGCGTGATCTAGAAACCTCATTGAAAATAACGTCGGTCATACAGCACAGTCGGTAAGCCTGAAGTTTCTCAAAAAATGATCGGTCAAAACAATTGCCTTCCATCCACGCTTATCTATCAAATGATTAAGAGCAGAGTTTGCTGCTATCTGCTTTATTGCTTCACTCGCACCTTCCCTTCACCACGATGGATTGGAACGTTGGAACAGTTTTACATCAAAATACTTTTTCAAACCACTCAAGGTGCACGACTGCAAGCGACGGAAGTCCTGCGAATCCAATGTGATTCACTGCCTGAAGAAATTGTTTTGATGTGTTAAAGATCTTATCAGGAGAGTATCCGTTCACCAAAATAACTGTTAATGCGTCACAATCTTTTGCAAAGTTAAAAGTCAGAATCAAAACCTTCCCGCGTTCATTCCCTATGAGAGTCAGAGGCACTCAACAATTAGGCCGAGTGGTAGCAAATGCTAACAACAAGCATCAGCTGGCAAGCTTCTTGATGGGTCCCTCTTTTGACGATTCATTAGAAAACTGATGACGGGATTAACTTCTAGGCAGAAGTTGTTTACTGTCGAAAAGAACAAATGAATAGAAGAGAAAATGAAAAAAAAGTAGTCCAATGACGGTACCGAACTCTCGCTTTACCATATGGCAGTGCTTTTTCCTACTAAAGCCATTCCCACCAGCGAAGTGAAAACTATCAAATTTATGAAATTCAGAGATAGGTCACCATAAAATAAAAAATTATAGATGAAGTAAAGCAGTCGAAGGATGGCGGTGCCAACGTCAGCAACTGCAGCAGTAGCAGCAGCAGCGGCTGCTGCCAGCACTGGCCCACCATCCGGCAACCGGAACATGTTCCTCGGATACAGCTCGACTCGAATGCGCTGGAGCCCGAACAGACACGAGCTGCTCGCCCACCAGGCTAAGGTCTCCAGAATGAAATCCACAAACTGTCGTTTACTGGTATAAAAAAGAGCAGTTACAATGAATTAAAGTGAAGCTGAAAAGAGGTGGGGAAGGCAATTGGACAGATAGGAGAGGAGGGACGGACGAAAGAGGCTTAGCAATACGTGTAATATGCAAATCGCGGTAGTTACTGCAGGAACTTGTTCATTCAGAAATTAGAAAGAGATGAACGGTAGAAACAATTCTGAAAAGTTGCATGAGATTTTCAAGAAAATTTTCAGAAGAGATAATTTGTTTAAGTTGTCGCAGCATCTCAATGAAGTTCAGACAACCGGCGAAGGTTCGAAACCGGACATTTTCATCACGGTATGCTACAAAACACTTCACACATATTCCAACCTTTCATCGCGTCTACCACTTAGTTGCTCCGCCGCCCTGCAATCCGTAACTTCAATAAATGCGGTTGAATATGCTAATTAAATTTGCCTAGCCTAAGTGCCAACCATGCAGTCGGCTGATGGGCGAGCACTGAGCAGACAATTATTCGAAGCAGCGTAGCGAGCTAACATTGGTTAGCAGGGTGGGACACCACCGAGATACCTCATCCAGAACAAAAAGATGGAACACTTGGAAGCAGGCCGAATGAAAGCACAGACAGAAGTGATGCCACGCACACAGCGAGGCCGATGCAATCGTTTGTCATATGCACTTCTACCCAGCTGATGGCTACTGTAGGATTATTCACTGCTTCACAGCTTAATATGTGCAAAATCGTTAAATCAAACTGAATAAATTCATGTGTTTTGCTTGAGACCCAAGCGTACGTGAAAGTTTAAATTCCGATTCACAGGATCGCACACATACAAGAAACATCTTGGAATTTTCAGTCTAAGTTCTCCTAATTGCTAAGTTGAAAACCCAGGCAGAAATCTGAGCATACGCACATACACAGCAAAGAGGGAGAAAGAAAAGCTCCCTTTGTATGTAAATTGCCTCAGATTGTAGTATATAAAGCAAAACACAGCTGGAACGCACCAAGCAGACTGGTGCGCTCGTACATTCTTGCACTGTTTCATGTTGCAGCAAAATCGTAAGGAATCACATTAGTTAAAATTTGTGACGGACTGGCCCTCGAAGTTCGGGAAGTTAATGGTGCAACTGTGTGGTAAGTCAGTTGTGGTTGTCGGCATCAGTAAAACGACAAATAGAAAGTTGCTTGTGCGCGAGAAAGATTCAAATAAAAGATTCGAATTTGAAATCTTTTAGTCGCACATAAATAGGGAACATTCCATTAAAATTTCAGCCTTCCTGCTTTTCTCATTTCCGAGTTAGCTGTTTTCCCGTTAAATCCTTCACTTGTCCATATGTGAGACACGGGCCATTCTGGGGAACTGAATTTGGAATCCACTGGTCATACGTGAGTATTGAACATTTCCTAAAGTTTCAGCTTTCTAGCTTTTCAACTTCCGGAGTTAGCAGTTTCCCTGTCAAAATTTGCATGCGCCCGTGCATGAAACGCAGACATACATGACATTTGATACCATACTTCTGGGATCGCACTTTACTAGGGGACACTCTAGGAAAATTTCAGCTTTAAAGCCTGCCTGGCTGCTGAGTAGAAACACCTACACAGACGAACACACACACATACACACACAGACATGGTCGTCACAACATAGGCTTTGCTGCCCTAAAGCGCTGCAATGCAAAAACGCATTATGAATAAAAAAAAACATCTAGCTCCGGACGTAAGAAATTCTTTGCACGGAGACAGGAATAACCATTAATGCTTTGTAGCTGAAGGATCAGGATGTGGTTTTTCTGCATTCTGAGGTTGGCTTGGCCCATTCTGGATACCTTCGAAGGCGCTATGCGAATGAGTTGTGGATGCAGAATCGGCAGCCAGCAGTGAACGTCATGGATTTTATGGACTTCGATCCGGATGCTGTACGCCGGATGGTTAATTTCTTTTACAGTGGAGTACTGCCGTGCTCACTGGCTGAAGCACCCGAACTATTGACTCTCGCCATCAAACTTCAGGTAAAATCGGTTGTTCCGCCATTTTACTTCGAAATTTTGCTTGCCCATCCCACGCCATAACAATTGCTACAATCGATACACTTGAATACCTCAAAAGCCACTAGTTCATCAGCGATTTATGTTCTGGTGCATTCGTCCATGGCTTGGCTGAAACTGTGCCATAGATTTCAATATTCGATACACCACATCCGCAGCATGCCATACATTCGAGTTAGTGGCGCAGCCCAGTGTTTCGGCAATGTCCCAATTGCTCTGAAATGTTATTGCTACCAGTGAGTTAGCCCTTCCATCCGACTGTTGCCCATTATCCTTTCCGCACGATCGGTTCAGCTTTTTCCTCTAGCACATACTACCTGCATTATGGTCTTCACACCATAATACTCAAGATTTATTATTCAGTAACCCAATTTAGACGATTTTTAATTCAGTGGTGGATCGTTGTCAATGTGATGATTTGGTTGGAGTTCAGATGTATAAAATCTAATAGAAGTGCGCGCCTGAAAATTGTTTTTTTTTCTTCGTCCTTAGCTCATTTGAGCAGATTTCAACAATAGGTATTTCTTCTTAATTTTAAGTCTCTTTAATGCCCACGTTGGGTTCCTTTCCAGTAGCAAAGACTGCCAGGATATGCTTCCTTTCAAAGATTTTTAGTTCATGTTCAAGATTTTGGGAAAAAAGTTATTTCAGGTTTCCAATATCACTGATGCGGCCTAAAAACTTTCGAACCTGCCGCATACTTGGATCGTGAGCCTGCGGGTTTCATTGGGCACGTCGACCAAACCATGCTATTTCTCACTGAATATGCTAGTAGTTGGGTTGGCCGACTTTCGCGAGTAAATTTTTCAGGTACCGTCGGTGAAAGCAATGATCGAGAAATTCGTTATTCAGAAGGCCGCTGAGCTAGGCAGTCTGTTGGATTGCTGGAATATCACCTGCAACAAGAATTCTGAATTCTCGATCAGAGCCAAAGATATTGTGCTCAGCTATGTGATTCGAAACTTGGAGCAGGTTTTATAATTTTTCAAATTAATTGTATAAAGTAGTAACACTGCGATAGGCTTCCGCAGAAACTAGCCAGCTCCTTCCGCTTCGAAATACCTTTGCGTGGGAATTCTTCCAGATGCACTTTGAGTTCAGCTTCCGACTTTTATTTGCTATAAATATATAAAAGTAAACTAAAGGAAAAGCATAGATGGAATGAAATCGAAGCTAGCTGTGTAAATATGCACATATGTGCAGAAATATGTAAAAAAAGCTAAGGAGCGGACGGTTTCAGCTCAATGAGCTGCACACGTTTTATTCTAGTGCCACAACTAGACCTCGTCAGCACAGTGATTGTGGCACAGAATTATATTTTTCTATAAAGTGCTAAATTATACTTTAAAATGATAATACAAAATGTGCGGTATTTGAATAGCTGTTGTGAAGGGTAAATATATGTGAACTAATGGACTGACCAAAAGCATCTTTCAGACGGTGATTCATTAGCATTTCTTCCTCTCTCTCTCTGAACTTCACAGATAATCGGAAGTAGATACAAAGCCTAATAGACTACTTATATATGTTGCCTACTTATGTATGTTCCTAGTTAGAAAGCTAGGGCAGTGTTGTCTTGCTTTTCAGGAATTCTGTTGATAAAATTTTGCATTGCAGATGGTGCTGGATCCACGTTTTTCGCAGCTGGACCAAAGCGCTGTTGAGGCGCTTCTGCGTCGCAACAAGTTGCCGGTCCGTACGGAAGCAGACGTCATGCGTCTCGCGCTGATATATTTCGTGCTCCGACAGGGGCACGTCAATGCGCAAAGCTTAATGAACGTGGTCCGTTACAACTGCGACGATAACACCATCATTCAGGTACTTCTACTTCTTCGAAACCAGCGCCTGCTTCGCCGCACGTAAACTGTGTACTGACGATAGCTCGCAGCTTTCGAAGACTTTTTTTTTTAGTACTCGTTAAATCGCTTTCTGGCACATCACAATACCGTCGCCATTTTTGAATATAACTGACTAACTGCCAAAAATACCAAAGTCACTCGCCCGGACAATTAGCGTATTTGGGCTGCACCATGCTTGTCAGCTAATCAGTCCAGAAAGGTGCATCCTCATGCCATATTACTACTGTGGTCAGCAAAAAGAAAACACAGTGGTACTCGATCGGCTACTCGATCGGCTTCCAGCAAAAAGAAAACACCGTGGTACTCGATCGGCTTCCTCTTTATGCTTGCGAATTACGCCTCATTTCAGATGCGTCAGGACGTTATGTGTGTTGATGATGAGATGCTGCTCCACAGTTTCGAACACAATTGCGCATATGGCATGTGGCAGACAAGGCGATTTTTCTCGGACGACGATCTATGGCCAGAATCCGAGATGTTGCCCCCGCGTGGACAGATGGACGCTGACTGTAACTGGATCCTGGCGCAGTTCTCCAGCATGGTACAATATTTGCCAGCATAATGAGATCCCACAGCACGCACTTGGGGACCGCTGAATTAAAGCGTTTGATTGACACAGTGATACCAGACAAAAGATCCCATCAACGCAGTGGTACTAGGTGCTCAACGGCTGATCCATAACTCATTGAAATGGCAGCTTTTGGAACTCAAACCACAGTACACGGGCTTTGCGGAATACTGCAAAAGTTGATTTATATTTCAATGCACTGAACAGGGAAATGATTTTCACAATATCTTACGCTTCCCCTCCTCCCTCCACCTCCGTTCCCTTGTCCTACCACCTGCTGCCAGGCCTGTCGAATCCGGATGGGTTGCTGTCCTCAGAGAAACTTAGCCGGTACCATAGTATGGGAGATCCTGGAACCATCTGAGCACAGTATCTAAATGCACTCCAATTTATCGGATGTACATTGCCGAAAATCTGACATCTGTCCAATTTCAGGTTTCGGGGCCGCAGGCATTGCCTGGGCCACAAGCGGCTGAACCCCAGCAGTATTTCTGAACCAAAGGCTGCATTGTCCATGGGTGATTCCGGAAGTTACGAAGAATTTTTGACTGGTGATTTCCATTTCTTGAATTGTCGTATATTGAAAAATTTTATTGACTTGTAAAATTTGTGCAGTGTAGATGAACCAAGCATTTGACATTTTTAAAAACAAATGCGCGGCACTCTTTAAAGTTGTAAGATTCGATGCAAAGGCCTCTATGCAAGTGTTCGGACCGAATTGCTGACGGCAGGTGGCAAGACACCCAAACAGTACCAATTTTCCATGATTCTTGGAGCCCACATTTGTGATCGTGCTGAATGGCCCGGATCTCGATTTGCTCCAGAATTTCACATGATTTACGCCAGGCATGAGCAACCTTTGGTGATGTATGGACTTGGATTACACATTCACTTAAGCTCGCGAGTGATCTTTTAGTAAAATCTAGATAGCAATGCACCAGGTGTGCCTATGCAGTCACTCGTTTTTGCCTAAAGCTGGCGCAATCAGATCGTTAATAGTACGAACGGTTGCTGTTTTATAAATTAACATGTGCAGCTCATGGCTTATGTTTTGGTCTCTGATTGCATGCGGGGAAAAGGGACAAGAGCGTCGACTGGGACGGTACTGTTGCGTATTATGGAAACTGAGATGAAAGTGAATGAAAAAGTCCAGTAGCTTCTGAGCACATACACAGAAATGCTCTCGAAATTATGCGCTAACGCCTAAAGACAAGTAAGCTTTTGTTAGGTTGTTCATTGGCAACGCGTACTAGGCAAGACCGTGCGATCAAACACTTTTGCATTTCGCGCTGTAGTAAGACCTATGAGCATTTGAAGGCAGAATTTGAAATCATCTGATTGGATGTAGCCAAGGAACGATCTTTGTGGAGTTCCAGCCTTCTAGCTGTGCCGCCCCTGAAAACGCTTTCCCGTCAAAAAAATTTTCACATGGCCATACATAAGAGCCACGTGAACGCCCATTTTGTGGTTGGAGGACAGCACGTATGTGCAGATTAAGTCCTCAAAGTTCCAGCTTGTAGCTTTTACAGGCCTCGAGATGGAAACTCGGTACGAGTGCTCACGCAGACATAAACATAGACACACACAGCAATATGCGTTTTCACATTGTACAGATGCAAACCCAGGCTAGAACGAACCAAGCTTGCCGGTGCGGCCGTGCGTTTTTGCACCAAACTTGAAGTAATAAGGTTAACTGCATGAATGGTTGTTGCCTCACACTTATTTCTTGTGCTCACTACAGTAAATCATCGTAAATTTTACATAAACGAAAATAAACAATATCCATTTAGCTGTCGTTTTTATGAGTTTTTGCTTATATTTAAATTGCAGAAACCCATATCGCAACGACCTGCTTGCGCATGCATGTGTGTGTGTGTGTGTTCGTCTGTCCGGGTAACTCAAATCGGCAATCAAGCAAGCACCAACGCCAAGATTTTGCTAGTAGGTTCCTCGACCATCTGCCACCCCAGGACCGCAGCACAAATCCTTACGCAGGTCTGGTCCTCGCTTACGCGGGGGTAAAGTTTTGACGGGAACTGATAACTCGGGAACGGAAAAAACTAGAAAGCTGAAATTTTGAGATTATGTTCCCCGCCCAAATAGAATCCAAACATTTCAAATTGAGGGTCCCTGGCGAGAAAATCGCTAATTTGGGAACCGGGAAAGCCGTGGGGCTGAAATTTTCTGGAAATGTTTCCAGCATATATACAACTTAAAGTTATCAAATTCAGGCCCCGGGCGTGCGTTGTCGTCATGTACGGTCCCCTGAAATTTTTAGCGGGAAAATGGCTAGCTCGGGAACAAGAAAAGCTGGAAAACTAAGGTTTTAGGAGAATACTCCCTGTCCAAATGCAAATTAAAATTTTCAAATTTAGCCCCCATTTACACATGGTTCTCGTATACGGGCACTTGAATTTATGGCGGGAAAATTACTCATTAAACAGGTTGGGTCATCAAAGACCACTAATGCAAGATTTACAATGGCTTACGGTACTGAGCGCACAAGGTAGGTTGAAGAAACAACCGTTCATGCAGTTAACCTAATTACTTCAATTTTGGTGCAAAAACGCATGATCGCATCGGCTCGCCTGGTGCATTCCAGTCTGGGTTTGACGAACATCCGCTCTAACAGCATTTCCACTTTTCAGTGAACTGGAAATATGCATTTTTTCGAAAAGCTATTATTTACCAGAAAAACGACCAGACTTCATGCAAAAAATTGATAACAATGTGCTTGGAGGCCCATGCATCCCTATAATGCAGCACGTTCATCCCAACCCTTTCTTCTGCATGCCAGAAAAGGCCAAGGCACGGTCAACATGAGCCCAAGCTTTAGGCTACGGCGCAGGGATCATTTCTGCTATTAACGACCTGCGAGTTTAATGCTAAAACGCGTGATCGCACCGGCAAGACTGATGCCTTCCAGCCCGAGTTTGAAAATGAGCCAGCTGTTCAGTGAGTGATTTCACCGCCAAAAAATTTAAGTGCCCATACATGAGAGTCGCGCGTACCTGGAGGCTGAATTCGAAACCTCTTAGTTCTATTTAAACAGGGACCACGGGGATGTTTTGAAGCAAAAGATACTGGTTTGGAAACCAGGAAGGTAAAACTCTGGGCTCCACCGCTATTTATTAAATTTGCATAAACTGCAAAGACTTATAGGAAGGAGAGACAGACAGTCAAATGTAAATTCAGTTTATGAATTACGCGTGTTCTCGATGCTGTTGATTTTCCCGTGCTTTATTAGTAGGCAGTCTAATAACTGTTCGCGCTAAAGTCAGACTTGCAGCGTTGGAAGCAATCGGAATAGGCTGTCAGAAGTTATTAGGAACTCTTGTGCACATGTTGACAGATCTGGCTTACCTTACGTTTCTAAAAAAGTTGATTTAAAAGTAACTTAATCTAAAATTAAGACACTTTGTGATAAAATGTAGTGCTTCTTATTCAAATCGCACCTGTAGGTTCGTGGAAGCTATATTCCATAGAAAGCGTGATGTTTGAGCATTGCAGTCAAAAATAATTTTATTTGCACTTAAAATAGCGCATGCGATAACAATACAAATGTACTGGAATTAAGTTTGACAAATTACAAATTAACTGTATTAAAGAGAAAATTTTGGAGAGGAAACTGTAAACCATTTAATTCTGCAAAATTCTTCAGTACTTCAACAAAAAATATTTGACATAAGTGAAATCACTATTTATTCTCCTTTTGCCACATATCGGGGAATTCTGTCTCTTTTCTTCGAGCTTCCGAATCTGCAAAAAAAAAACCCAGGCTGGAACGCACCAGGCGGGCCGGTGCGATTATGCGTTTTTGCACTTTTC